CGCGAGGTCGCGAAAGACACGTCGGGGCGCGACCTCGTAGCAAGCCAAAGCAAGCCTCCTGCCATCCGCTGGGCCGCGCGGACGGCTGCTGGGTCGGCGTCGCCCTCCTCCGGCGCGCGAGGAGGCGGAACGGGCTCGAGCGCGATGGTGCGCGTGCCGTTGGCGTCGCACAGGCCCCACTTGGCGAGCATGTCGTCCAGGTAGGGGCCCTGGTGCACAATCAGCTCGGACCCTCGCGCCTCGATCTCCAACCCCAGGTAGGTCACCTTCCCCGGCGCTTCCCAACCGATCCGGCTCTGGACCGAGCAGGTCCACGTAGCCCTCAGCAGCGACTCCAGCTAATCCAACGCCCCGTCGGGCCCCAAGCAAAGGAAATATTCGACGTAGACGAGAAGGAGGCCGAGCAAGAGGCGGTCCGACTCCAGCTTAGGCCCCGCCGCAGCGACCACCATCCAGACACTGGGGTCGCACCTGCTCTGGGCCAGCTTCGCCAGCACGCCGTCGACCAAGAACTGCATTGCCCTCATGTCGTTGTCACGCTTGGCACCCCAAGCCCTGGGGGCAATCCGCAGACCATAGATCCCCTGGTTCGCAACCCAAAGCACGTCTGGTCCAACGAGGCCAAAATCGACGAAGAGCTTGGGAGGGCGAACAACGACGCGAGCGGCCTCGGGGGGAAGAGGGGCATTGAGAAATGCCGTGCTCACGTCGAGAGCTTGGAGCTTCCACCTGCACCGAGCGGCCACAACCAGGGCCAAGCGCACGCTGGAGATCTCGACGTTCTGCGTGTAGGCGACCTCGTCGGGCTGCTTCGCCTGGAAGTTCCCGCACAGCACGCCCCTGATCTTCTTCCTCCTCCTCTGCTGGGCGCCCCCTGGTTTGGGAGGCTTGATGCCGGCGACGACCTTCATCGGCAGGATCTCGCTGGCTCTCACTCCGCCGCGGTCCGCAGCGGGTAGCTCGTCGAACGCCGCGTTCGACCTATAGCTGGACAGTTCGGCCGCCATCGCCTGGAACCACTCCTCCCTCTCGGCTCCCACAGCGCGCCGGAGCTCCAGGCCGGCCACGGGCTGCATCCCCGAGTCCTTGAGCACCTCGCGGAACTCGGGCAGAGACGCGTCGGCCATGCCGTCGTCGTCAGCATCGCTCCCAGCCGCGCGGGCCGCGGCGGCCACCGCCGTCCACAGCAGCTCCTCCTGATGACCACTCGCACGCTGCGCGGTCGGCCCGAAGTCCACGAACCGCTCCCCCAGCGCCGAGGCCCTCGGAATCCTGATGTCCCCGGAGGCCTCTCCATGAACATCTCGGGCCGGCTGCTTCTCGCGGTAGCGCCTCCTCTGCTGGCCTGCGGAAGCTGGCGCAACCGGGGCAGGGCCCCTCCTGCGCGTATCATCGCGCTTGTGAGCCTGGCGGGCACCGTGGCGCGCAGGGCAGGTGATCGCCCCGTCGGCTTGGTCGATCCGGAGCCCATCGCTGTCACCAGCGCCATTGTGGCCTGCTGCGTGTTCCTCCTGGGCTCCTGCTGCGTCCTCCTCCTGAGCTCCTGCTGCAACCTCCTCCTGAGCTCCTGCTGCAACCTCCTCCTGAGCTCCAGCTGCAGCCCCCTCCTGAGCTCCTGCTGCGTGACCTGGCTGCCGGGCGGATGCCGCCTCGCCGGAAGCGGCCGCAGCGGCGCCGCCTGACGACTCGACCAGCGAGCGGCGCGGCGGCGGCGGGTGCGGGATGAAGCTGGATGAGGTCTCGAACGCCCACTTCGTCACGCCCAGCCCGGTCTGCTTGAACCCCACCAGCGCCGACTGCGACGCGTAGTCGGCGATGCCCAAGAACACCCTGTCGGCGGCGCGAGGCGCGAAACCGAAGACCACTGGCTGCTTGATCTTCGCCGCAACCATGCTGCCGAAGGCTGGGCACGAGGTCGGGCGGCCCTGCGCCTCGCGCCTCTGCAGCGCGGCGGCGTGCTGCGCCGCGGCGGGCCGCAGCTGCTCGCGGTCGGCCGGCTCCAGCACGACCAACATGGCGCGAGTGCGCTGCTTGATGATCCCGATGCCCCTCTCAGCACGAGGATTGTTGTTCGGGTCCCACCCGGGCGTGCTGGCGACAAGGATCTCATGCCCTGCCATTCGCTCACGAACAGGGCCCCGAGAGCTCGCGAGCACCATCGGCATGTAATCGAAAGACGCACCGCGTCTGGAACTCCAAGCTCACCTCCGCAACGATGAGCTCGAGAGCCTTTCCCACCTCGTCGGCCGCCTTGGTCTGCAGCGGACGCGTGTAATACCATGTGCGCGGCCCTTCGCCGCATCGCCTGGCAGGTCCACTGGCAGCTCCGCGGGCTCCTCGATGACCTCGCCGTCGAGACCACCTGGCACTGCTTCGAATGCCACCGCCTCAAAAATCGCCGCTCGCTGAGCGACCGCGCCCGCCGGCCCTCCGGTCGAACCCCCGGCGCTTCCGGGGTCGGCAAGGCCGCCCGCCCTCCTTGCCCACCTCCACCTTCGAGCTGTCCCGCGCGAAGCGCTCGTTCTTGACCGCAGCCTCCTGCTCGGCCACGGTGGAGACGGAGTAAGCGCACAGCAGGAAGAAGCGGGCCCCGCGAGGACTGTCCTCTTGCAGAGCCGACGGCCACCGTGCACACGGATGAGGACCAGAGATGTCCGCCGACATCAGCCCGCCTGGCCGCGCGCTGGCGTTTAGGCGCCAGTGGGGCCGATGCCGGCCAGCGGCTAGACGGCACTCCGCGCAGTCAGGGCGGAAGTGCGGATGCCCTGCAGCCCGGCGCTGCTCCAGGCTCTGCTGCACCACCGCGGCGCGGACGCAGTCCACGAACCTGGACGCGCCGATCTGCGCGCGGCGCAGGCGGCGCATGCCTCGAAGCACCTCGGCCTGCGCCTCCGAGATGAAGACCGAGCCGTCGCGGTCCACGACGAACTCGAGGGCGCGGCCGCCGGGCAGCGAAATGGCCGCCCGAGCAGGGCCCCACAGCATGCTCAACTCCAGCTCGTGGACGCGCACGGAGACGGGGAACAAGGCCTGCAGCAACGTCGACGACACGGCGTACACCACTTGGTCCTCCGACATGTAGACCTCGCCAGCGGCCTGCCCCACGGCAAGGCCTAGCTTGATGGGCACGCTGCCCGGCGGCGGGGCCTGGGAAGGCCAGAGGTGCCGCAGCTCGTGGCTAGCGCCCGAATCGCACAGCAGCATCTCTGCCCTGATGCGTCCATGGCGCGACGCGGCGACGGTGGCTCCCTGAGGATCCAAGCGCAGCATGCGCGTGACAGGGTGCTGCGGCTGCTGCGGCGGCGGACGCGCGTCGGGCAGTGCGAGCGGATCGCCTGCCTGGCCGCTCCAGTCGGCCCGGTAGCCGCTGTCGGCCTGCGCGGCGAAGATCGGCGAAGCTCTGCATGGCGCGCGCGACCGCCTGCTCGATGCTCTCGGCGCTCAGCGGCTGCTCTGACGCAGTGGCCGCAGCTGCCCTAGGGGGTTGCTGCTGCTGCTGCTGCTGCTGACCCCCGGCGGAGGCGAGCGGCCGAGGCGCAGTGCACTGCGCCTTCGGGTGCTGCTTGCTGCCGCAGTTGAAGCACTTGTTCTCGTGGGGCTCCAACTTGCGGTGCTTGCGCGTGCACTGGCCTCCGTTCCTGCAGCCCTTGTCGGACTCGAAGTGCCGGCGCAGCTCGAGGCCAGTGGCGGCAGCGGCATGCGCATCCTGCTTGCCACCCTTGCCCTTGTCGTCCTTTGCCTTGCTCTTGCCGCTCTTGTCCTTGCCGCTGCCCTTGGGGCTCGCCTTGGCCTTAGGCAGGGCGGCCTCCAGGCGAGCGATCTGAGCGCGGACGCCGCGATCACCGGCAGCGGCCTGCTTGGGCTGCGGGGGCGGCGCGTCCGAAATCTCGCGGCTCTCCGCAGACAGGTACCTCCAGTACTCGTCCACCTGCCGCTGGGTCGCCGTGGACGCACCGCTGAGGCCGTGCTGCGTCTCGAACGAGTTCAATCGGAACTCGAAGGTGTGGGGCTGCTCAATCATGCGGCCCACCATCGTCCTGAGCGTTGCCAGCTGCACAACGGGATCGGGCGGCTGCATCTGCAGCCGCTGGAGCCGAACAAGATCGAACTGCCAGCGCTGCAAGCACGAGTGCACGTGCTTGACGTCGACGGGGCCCTTGCCCCGGCCCTCAACGGCCTCCAAAACGTCGGTCTTGTCCTTCAACGTCCCCGGGCCTGCCCACACCAGCGTCGCGAACAGCACCTCCACCGTGCTCGTGGCTCGCGTCGCCAAGGCCTCCCGGCGCACAGTCTCCGGCACGCTCTCCAGCAGCACCGCCCTGAACTTGAACTCGATGTCCAGGTAGCGGGCGTCGTCATGCCAATTCAGCCGTGGCTGGATCATCGGCCTGTCCATCGGCTGAAGCTTGAGGTACTCCTCATACGCCTGGTATGCCACCACCTGGACACGCTGGAAGAAACTCCCCATCAGGCGGTGCCAACCTCCGACTCGGAGCGCAACCCGCTGCAGCCAGTCCTCCAAGGCCGATGCCCGAGGCTGGTTCGGAGACACCTCCAACTTCTGCAAGTCGCCGTCCTTCAGCTTGGCCAAGACGGTGTCGAGGCCGCTCGCGCCGTCAGGGGCGCTGATGGCTGCAGCGGCGGCGGCGCCACCAGGAGGTGGTGGAGGCGGAGCACCTCCTACCAGCATGTCGCCCCCATGTCCGCGTCCTGGGTCATCTGCTCCCCCGCCGCCTCCACTCGGGAAGCCTCCACCCCCGCCGCCTCCACCTCCAGGGTATCCTCCTCCTCCGCCTCCGGCTCCAGGAAATCCTCCGCCTCCGGGGCCAGGGAATCCTCCGCTTCCAGCTCCAGGAAACGGCGCCGGCAATCCTGCCGGAGGCCACGGCGTCGGCAGCCCAGGCGGCAACCCGCCAGATTGCTGAGACGGCTGAGGAGGCTGCAACGGCTGGGAGGCGGCCCGCGCCTGCGGCCCCTCGGCCGCAAGCATCGCCGAGGCAGGGGCCGATGCGGCGGGGCCCGAAAGACCATCGGGCAGTAACACTGCAGCGGCACCTGCAGCAGATGGCTGCTGCTGCTGCTGATGATGCTGCTGCTGGACTGCCGGCGCCGGGGTCGAAGCCACAGGCGCCGAACCTGCAGGGGAAGGAGTCGTAGCCGAAGTCGTCGTAGTCGCTGCAGGCAGCGCCTGCGCGCCGAAAAACTCCGCCCTTATGTCCACCTCCTGACCCCCGCGGGCGAGGAGTTCCAAGGTCGCCGACGCCTGGGTGATCAGCCCATCGCCTGCGTGAGGAACGTCCTCGCCAAGTACTCCATGTGCGCCGACCTGCGCACTCTGGCCTCCACTCGCCGTGGCCGTCGGCGGCCCCTCTGAGCTGGGAGACACTGGCGCCGCGACCTCAGCCTGGTCAGCGGCAGTCGGGGTGAGGTACCCCGCAGATGGAACGGTTACCCTGGCGCGCTCGGCAACCTGCTCCGCCTCAAGTTCAGCACTCCGCCGGCTGAGGCTGTCGACCTGGAGGCGGAGGTCGCGAAGCTCCGCCAGCATCAGGCCCATCACGCCTTCATGTTGTTCGTCCTGGCCCGCCGGGGCCGGCATGGTTCCAGCGCCCTCGACGCTGGGCCCCGTGATCGGCAAAACTGGGTGTGGCATCATCGCGCCTGCACTCCAAGTCTGCCTCGTGCCTGCGGCCGCGCCCAGCGCCAGCCGCTGCACTCCTGTGGCGGCCGTCGAGATGGTGGCGCCGAGGGCGTGGCCGACCATCTGGGCCGAAGTCGCCGCGGTCCTCCCCACGGTCGCGGCCACGTGCCCGCCCCAGGCCGCCTGCCGCTGCGCGTAGACGATGTCCCGCTCGGCGTAGCAGGCGTGGCACACCGCGTGGCCCTGGTAGGGGGCCATGCAATGGGCGTGCACCTCCATCCCGCAGATCGTGCACGTGACCGAGGGGCCGATCACGTGATCGCCGCAAGCTCGGCACCGCGCGCGCAGCAGCGCAGCAGGCGGGCCAAGCGCAGCGGGGAGCACTGCGCCCTGGTAGGGATGTGGGCTCATAACCCTTTGCAGCGATCCGTGTCCGACATCTCCCTCTCTTCCTCCACTGCTGCTGTACATGTTTCGTCCAAGATGTCTCGCCTCGCCGCCACCCTCCTGAGAAGCCGAAAGACCTCTGAGGGCGGTATGGGCAATGAGTGTTTCAAGTGAGAGGGTAGGGGTAGTCGGAATTTCAATCTCAGTAGGGTGTTTACCGAGACAGCGAGGGGAACGAATAGGCGATCTCGTTCGCTCTCCTCGGCACGCTGATGGACCATTTTCCACACAGCGCACAAAACTTGAGCCAAACAGTTCCGGGCGAAAACTTGCCTCGCAGGAGTGGCGTTGCCACCACCCCCGTGAGACTTCGCAGGAGTGGCGTTGCCACCACCCCCGCGACACTAAGACGGCGCACTGTGGCAATCTAAACGGTCGCCGCTCTGGTGTGTTCAAGAGTCGATGCAACACAATGGCAGCACATGTATCACATGCGGTAGCGTCTATGCCGCCTGTATGGTATGGGAGAAACTCTGACATCCGAGGATGGGCTGGCATCCCCCAGCAACGCTGCTGACAAAAGGGGGCGTGGCAAAAAGGGGGGGGGGTCTTGAGCCACTGCTGACTACTCATGCCGATGCTATGCCGATGCTCCCCTGTCCCACGTATTTTCCCATATTTTCTGGGAAATCGCCGATTCATTGTGTCTGTGTGTTTCTTTCCCTCCTGATCCTCTCAGAGAGAACCTCTGCGCCAAGGAGTTCACCACCACCCGACACACCTGCTCCAGGACCCTCTCGTGAGCGTCCCCAGGGTGCGGCAGCCACTGGTTGACGCTGATGCTGTCGGACACCGCGAATGTGTCGACTGCACACAAGAGTGACCCCGAGTAAGAGTGACCTCTGGTGCGCGGCTTTTGGTGGGCCGCGGGGGGGGACCAAAACCGAGCGCGCGAGACGCGACTACCGCATCGCGTTCGGCAATCGGGGGGCCCCATTGGGCCCGCACCAGAGGCCACTCTGGCGAAAAAGGTCACTCTTACAGTCAACGCAGGGTAAGGATGCGCGATAAGGATGCAAGGGCCTGGGACGCCCATTTCGAGGCTTTTCGAGCGGGGCGCGGTCAACGAAAGTGTCCAAGGATGGACCCAGGAAGCAAGGATGCAAGGGTGCCCTTGGGAGAGACGCCTATCCTTACTCTGCGGGTCGACTGTACGTGTCGTCGAATGTGGTGTGGAACCAGTGCCAGGGAACGTACAGGAGGTCGCCCGGCTCCAGGTCCACAAAGTACATCCTCTCGGCGGTGGACAAACCTCCCTTTAGTAAACCTCCCCTTAGTGAAAACGGCCTGGGACCGAAACCGACGGACCTGGACCTGCAAAAATGAAGGCCGCGACGCCCTCTCGCCGACCGAAAACGGCCAATTCATTAATCGACGTGTCAGGGTACGAGGTCTATCAACCTCCGATCCTCTCGTGGCCTCGTCGCCCTGCCGCCTCCTCCTCCAGCTGCGCCATCGAGTCGCAGAACGCCTCGCCACAGAAGCCGGTGCTCTCCTCGAACGGCACCCGCGTCTCGGACACGCCGGCAAGCCTCCTCACGAGCAGAAGAAGAGCACCGGCACGAGCACGCAAACCGTCGGAGACCAGCGCGGCTTTCTCGGAACGGGGCTGGCCCTCCCTGGCGCGCAGAGCGTGCCAAGGGGTGGCGCCAGAGGCGCCGCCAGGAGGGCCCAGCGCCGATCCGAGAAATCCGCGCGGGCCTCCAGAAGTTCATGTTTAGGCCGCTGCCTCTCCTTCGGATGAGAACCCACCGCTTCCTGCGGGCGGCGCGCCGAGGGGAGACCCGAGGGGAAGCGGGTCCTCTCAGAGGGCGGCGGGGCTTCTCGGAGGCCCTCTGGCCTCCTGAGGCTCCCCCCTGTGGTTCCGAAGCAGGCCCGAGAAGCCTCCGGCGGCCCCCCAGGGCACGAGCAAGAACGGACACGCGCGGCGTGGACGGACTGCAGCGCCCAGCTGCCGGGGAGAGGCGCTCCGAGCCTTCTGATAAGACCCGCGCCCCCGTCGGCCGCCCCCCCCCCCCGACCAGCCATAATTGGGGGAGCTGTGGTCCTTACCCCCCTGGGGGAACCCATCGCCTCGACGATCTCTCGAGAGGGGCGTCGAAATGGATGGGTCCCCCAGGGGGGTAATGACCACAGCTCCCCCAGTTGTGGCTGGCCTGCCCCCCCCCCCCCACCCTGGTCGGCTGTTGCCAGACCTGCCCCATGGCCCAAGGCACTGCAGGGATCTCCTGGGAGGCCCCCGCGGCCCGAGCACCCCTCGCGAGGCCCAGGGGGCCCCAGGGGCTCCAAAATGGAGCGGGGAGCTGGGGGCACCCTGGGCCAGGGGGCACCTTCGGCAACAGCCCACCTGGGCGCGCCGCCGCATCCTGCCCAACAGCTGGCACGCCACGTTGACCCCGTAGCTGTCGTAGTGCATGCGGGTGCTGCTCCCCCGCGTGCCCGCCCAGAGGCACGGCAGGCTGCTGGCGGCGCGCAGCTTTTGGCCGGTGCGAGGAGAAGGGGAAGGGAGCAGGAGGAGGAGGAAGAAGAGGAGGAGGCGGAGGAGGAGGAGGAGTACGAGGAGGAGGAGGAAGAGGACGAGGAGGAGGAGGAGGAGGACAAGGAGAAGGGCCGGGGCCGAGGAGAGGAGGCGAGGAGAGGGGGGGCGAGAAGAGGGGGCGAGGAGAGAGGCGTAGAATTTGGGCGGGGCGAGGAGAGGGGGGTGACCGGCAACGTGAGGGGCAAGGTTCGGAGAAGGGACGCTTGCTTTGACGTTCGAAGTTTTCGGACGTGTTGATCGATTCTCGCCGTTTTCCAACCTGGTTTTCTCCAGCAGCTGCGCCTCGCCGAGAACGCTCCCGATGTGCAAGAATCGTCGCGAAAAACCGCGCGAGTCCCGAAATATGGCCCGACAGTGAATAAAGCTTCCATGAGCCTCCGATCAGGGAGAGACCAACTCAGGGGAGGAACGTCGAGCTCGAATCGGCGATTCATCGCCAGATCATCGACGGGCCTCCCGATGTCAAAACCAAGCGTTCCTGGGCGGGGTGGTTATCGGGCCCCTTATCGGCGATCAGTGGGCGATTGAAGGTCGATGGAGCCCCCCTGAGCCTAACCCCCCATTATGTTGCCCCTGAGGGGGCCTACGACGGCAGTTGATGAACACATCCACGCCCTGAAAGCAAGCCTGGCGGTACGATGAGATGGAAGAAGCGCGACAATCGCCCCTGCCCCAGCTGATGGGAAGGGGATTCCTCTCTGCTGCACCTGGCCAGGAAGGAGGAAGAATGCATGAATCAATGAGTGAATGAGTGAGTGCATGAATGAACGAATAACTGAATGTCATTCATGGTTAAATGTATTTCTGCTCTCTGCATGTGCACTACGGCGCTCACTGTAAAACCGAGCGGATAAAGGTGTGCAACATATCGGCTGGAGTTCGGCCGAGTCGAAACAGCATCCACAATGCTAACGAACCCGCTGGCAGGGAAGGGGAGGAAAAGGAAGAGGATGAGGAGGCGGAGTCCTTCTTCCTCCGCCTCCTGTCCTCCCCTCGACCAGTGTCTGCCGTTCCCATTTACGTCCGTCCTGTGCCGCGCAGCCGGCGCCGGTGGCCCTTGGAGCGGTTCTCCAAGGGTAACCTGGCCCTAGTTTGATCCCCCCCAAGGGCCGACTGGCCATGGGGGAAAAGCTACATCCAGAGGATCTTGCAGCCACCAGGCATGTAGAATGCACGGGAGCAGCTGCATATAACACAGAGCGACACGAAATACAAGAAGGGGGGCCCGTGCTATGAGAGAGCACGTTCTCTCTCCATTAACGGGGGTCAGGGGCGCGCCCGTCGCCTGCGCGCCAGGTGACTCAAGGGCCCTTGTGAGCCACAACGGCGGCACGCAAGGGAGCACAGAAAGAGGCGCAGGAGGAGGAGAGGCTGACATGGGCATGACAACCACAGCCCCGGCCTTTCTTGCAGCCGAAACGCCGCCTCGCCTCAGTTCGTGAACTTCCGCTTCTCACACTCGAAGATCGTAGCCACTCAGGCCCGCAACCATCTCATGCAGCCCCAAAGCGCATGCAGCCGGCACGGCTGCGCGAACACGTGGGCCTTGAGAACATCTCTAGGAGAGCTCCATGAATGGATTGTCCGACCCTGGCTCCATGATGAGATCTCCAGATCCTGTTTCGCCCGCAGCTTGCCCCATCTCGCCCATGAAACTTTGCGGCTCGATTCCGCGGGGGTCGCACTGGTAGCCAGTCCGCTCCAAGTAGCGGACTGCTGCGCTGAGCTCTTTGGTCCTTGAGGAATCAGCTAGACCTCGAGAATCAGCTTCGGAATCAGCTCGACCTCGAGAATCGTCAGGGCGGCATCCTCGATCGCCTCGTCCGAGTGCGCGCGGGCGCTCGGAAACGCGGCGGGGATGGCAGAAGCCGCGGGGTACATCCTGACCGTGCGATTCCAGAGCCTATACCGTCCAAAGACTTGCTGCTTCGCCTGCACCTTGTCCCATAAATCCCTCATCGTCGCAGTGTGGGCCCAGGGCTGGGCGACGCGGGCGCTTTCGGCTTGGCTCCGCTGCATGTGGACATGCATCTTGGGATGACCTGCGCGGCGGTCGCGGTCCACCTGCAACTCGAAAATGCACGAGCAGAGATTCGTCTCGGGGCCGGCGTCGGACGACAGGTGCACCATGCAATATGCGCAAGAAGTGCGGCGATGTGTTTCTGCGCAGAAGACGCCGAAGATATTGTCCGCGCATGAAGGTCTCTGCTTCAGCTTGAACAGGCCTTCCTTGCTCCAAGTAGAAGCATGCGCTGCTATGTTGGCGCCGTAGTGAGCGGTCCAGATGTCGGCCTCTGGTTTGCTGAGCATCTTATATTGCTGCATCTCTCTGGGGCATTCCATTGGCAGATTCATGACCCACCGCTGTCCAGTCGGGCACGCACTTAGACCCCGCGCAACAGGGCCCTCGATGAGCCCCGAGATGTGTTCACGAGAAAAGTGAGACCCCTTGGTCACTTGAGCATCCCAGGGTGATGCTCCCGAACCAAGGAATCCAACACAACCGTAGTAACAAAGAGCGTCGAGCAAGTGGTCCCTCGTCGCGTGGACCTTGGTACATGCCTACCAGTTGGAGCTCATCATCCGGTCGAAAACGTGTTTGTTCTTCCCGGGCAGCTTGTAGGCCTTCCTCCAGTTGGCACTGATGCAGTGCCCGTCGCGTTCGAAGAGTATCTGGCCCATTTCTGCCGCGGATTCTTCCCTCGCCAGCGCGGGGGCGCACTGGTGGATGGTCATCGCGGCCATCGTGGCCTCCTCGATAGCTCCCCCAATTGGCGGAGTGCTGCCTGCATATCCCTTGAGAATCCCCGCGGCGCTTGAGAACCCGGTTGCAAGTGGAGTTGCGGGCGGGACGATGGCCGACGCAGCGGGGGCCCAATCCGGTAGGTCGCTGAAGTTCCTCCAAGCGAACGCTGACACAGGGTGAATGGTCGCGGGGTCCCCGATCTCGGCCTCTGTGCACGCCTGGAAGTACGCATAAAGAAGCTCGCAATCACTGTTCTCGACTGCTGTCATCAGGTCGTGCACCACGGTCTCGTACTCATACGCATTGCACGACTTGATCATTTCGATGGCAATATCGGTGGGAATCTGCGCCATCAGCTTCATCCAGACATGAAAGGTAGGACATCTCGGGCACTGATGCTGCGCTGCCATCATCTCCGACAGTGGGCCATTGAAGTCGGTGCTACGACTTGGGCCTTGCGTGTCCAGCGCCTGTCGAGCACGGCCCTTCAGCGCCAAGTAGTCGATAGCGTCGTCGGTGGGCCAGCGTCTATTTTCTCCATCGCGTCGGACGGCTCGTCTGGTCCGCGTCTGCACCCAGACCTTCCACCGTCTTCTCTTTCGCCATGTCTTCCTTCATCTGCAACATTTTCTTCTCCCCCACCGTCGCGATGCACCGCAGCGGCTGCTCGCGCGCGGACAGTGCGTCCGATTGTCGAAGAAGGTCGCCCACGTCGACCCAAGCGCGGTGCCCGTCTCTGGCCGGCAATCCTAGATCCCAAACACAATGGCGCTCCAACTCAAAGCGAGAACGCTTGTGCGGTCCATTTATCTTGGGATGTTCTGGGGGGATGGCCCCGTCGTTCCTGCAAGGTGGGATAGCGATCTTGTCATTTGGAATATCAGCCAGGTTGTCCGGAGAAACGCGCAATCCAGCTTCCCCCATCGAGCTCCCGACATGCTGCGTACCTGGCGGCGCGGTCGATGTCCAGGTTCCGCTTGTAGGTGACGCCCATATCCCTCTGGTCCATACTTCCCCCTGGGGTAGCGACCGCGTGTGAGAAGCTTACCTTGGTGCTCCGACGACGGATCAGGGCGCTGACGTGTCGCGCGCGTCGGGAACCACTAACGCGAAGACGCCGACGGCCCCGACATACTTCGGCCATGGGAGTATAACGACATGTCGTCGTGCGTCGGCGCCTCCTCGACTGCCCCCCTGGCCGAGTCGTCGGCCAGGTACCGTTCAGCATAGGGGCGCTGTCCTGGCGAGGAAGCAGCAGCCAATCTCTTGGAACCTCTCGTCGCCTGGGCCCCACCTGCAGCCGGCTCCCGGGGCGGCCCTGGCTTCTTCGATTGATCCTCTTCCTGTGCTTCAGCTTCCGCGTCAAGGGCCTCTTCTCCAGGCAGGCTTCGCAGGGCGTCTCAGGCTGCCGCAGGAAGTCGCCAACGGGGTCTTCGCCAGATGCTGCGCCAGGTGGTCCGCCACTGGGGCCCCCCTCCTGCTCGACGTCGCCCTCGCTCGAGCCCGCATCCTCGACGTCCTCGGCCTGCGCGGCCCGGCGCTTGATCTTCCTGTTCTGGCGGCGCCTTCGATGCTTATCCCTTCTTGCTTGGATAGCCTGCTCGGTCGAGGGTCGAATATTTTCGCTCTGGGGCGCGCGCCCCAGGCCCTTCCTGGCAGGTTCTCGCAATCCTTCTGATCAAGGCCTTCTTGGTCTGCTGCAGCTCGAAGTACAGCTCCAATTTGATCCGTTGAGACTCGAATCGGGCGTCGTCTCCATCCTCCTGCAGCTGGGTGATTCTCCTCCGACGGCAAGCCGAACCACCTCACGCGTTCTCCATCGCGTTGATCACCTGCCCCAAGCGGCGCACCTCCAGCTCGAGGTTTTGGGTCGTGGCCATTCAGAGTGCCACGCGTGCCCTGAGGTGATAAATTTGGCACCGAATCGGGTGGCATCCGCTCCCTCGTGACGGATTCCGGGAGTTCGAGGCGGTTGACGTACTCCTCGACGGTCTTGTTGTACTCGTCCACTCCACGCACCCTCTTCGCCCTCTCGCCTCGGCGCTGCATGGTCTTGTCGCCCAACTTATCCATCTTATCCTCTCTGCGCTGCTCGGCCTCGGATGACGCATCCCCCTGTCCATGTCCTCCATGGGCATCAGGTTAACGACGTCAGTGTCGCCGCCGTCGCGGGC